GGGTGGGGGGGAACTCCACCCCCAACCACAACAAAAAAAACCCCTTATGCTATAACTGAAGTCTCAAAGTACAAATACCATCTGTATTTCTGAAGTTTGATAGTATGATGTGACAAATTAATTGCAGCTGCTTGTTGCTTGCTTGCATCTTGCTTGCTTGCATCTTACTTGCTGCACTACCTTAGCTTTTCAAGCAGAGCTGAAAAGTACTGTGAAGACATGAAAGAAGGTGTGCCATACCCAACATTGCTTTAATCCTTTTCCCCAGTAAATTTTCCCTTCTAGTCCTCATATTGAAGTATGCAGAGAGAAGACATGGCTAACTTCTCAGTTTATAAACTCATTAATTTTTTTCATTGCCTGGCTTATCGATAAAGTATCTTTGGTATCATTAAAATACCTTTATATAGAATTGTAGGTATCAGTACTCCCTCACATTTTTTGGCACTGTGGATGTGTATCTCAGACAATTACAATCCAGATTTAGCTTATATGTCCAATACTCAGTATTGTGTCTGCTAACTTATAATAAAAATAACTACTGCTTCCTGTGAATCACTGCATGGACTGATCCCTTATTCACTTCCCTCTAGGGATCATGTCATGTCTAACAACTTGCTGATAAATGCACTGTCAGTTTTAAGTGCTAATATCCTTTTACATCTGGGCTCTTACCTGTATCTTTTGGCATAATTTACAGGCAGTAGTTGATTGCTATTAGCTTGTATAATAGCAGCACCTTCAGTCTTCCAGGTGGGTGTCCACACATAGATGCAGTTTATTCCCCAGACTGCTTAGTGTGCCTTGCAATTGCAGTATAGATTTGAGTGCACTTTCTCCCACATACTATTTTGCTTCTTGATGATTAATCCTCTCTCATTCTTTTTGTGCCACTTTATTATGAGTCACTTATTGGGCTCAGTGTCACATCTGACATATGCCTTGGAAACTTAAGTTTTAAGTCCCAGATAAGTATTTCCTTTTTCTACTCTGCATATATTATACTGAGCTAGTACGCATATGTGACTCTTATGCTTGTAACCTTGAAAACTGAAAGGAAATTAATTCTGTTCGAACTTCTACCATTTTTCAGGCTGAAAAGAATTTGTATTGAGTTTTTGTGCAAAAGATCCCATTTTCTAATTGTTGCCCTTGATACCAGACCGATAGCAGATTGCTGCAGTTGCACATATGCACTTTATAAAGGACATGTTGCAACTTGTGGAAAAACTGTATATCAGTGATCTATGGAAAAACGATACATCAGTCTCATATATATATAAAAAAAATCCCCTCCAAGAAAATAAAAAAACCCTCTCTAGATATTTGGAGGTTTTAAAAACAAATATTTGTTTTCTTAGTTTACTCTGTTATGCTGGAACATATTAGCACAAATTAACTATTGAAATGCTTCCACTGACCACTTGAGGGCATGATTTGATGTAGTTTGAAGTGCTGCAGCACTTGGGAGTCATGTTATCACATCACTATTTCTACTCCATTTTCAGGAAATGAAATTGAAGATAAATCCTTTTGACTAAGAGGGGGGAATATAGAGAGCTTTTATCAAGCAGTAACCAAGGATTATAATCTACTTTATTCATGAATAATAAAATATTCTTCAGTGAAACTTCTAAAGTTGTTTTGTGCAGGTCCACAAAGAAGAATTTTCTCAAACGCAGGTTAACTTTATCAATAACGGCTTTATATCGACATTCATGTCTCTAGGCCTGTAGGAGAGATTTATTTTCCAAGGTGCACATTTATGGCTGTGTTTCTTTGTAAGGTTTATGACTGCTCCATGTGGTGGCTGATGTGTAAACCCACAGCAAGTTTCATGTAAGAAGCTGTACAGTAGTAGTCTAATAAATAACAAATAAATGACAACTGAAACATTATCTTGACATGTATTGGATCTGTTCAACTCTTAACAGAGCCATTCCAAGCATGGACTGGGTTTTATACTTCTCGGAGCACATTAAAAGGGATTGCAAGGAGAGCAAGTTCACTGCTTTATGCCGGCGAGTCCTTTTTCACACAGTATGTCCGGAAACACCCAGCAAGTTCTACTTGGAAATGTGAAGCCTTAAAGCAGCTTCAGAGCCTTAGGTGGGCAGTTTCAGAGGTAAGGATTTATTTTTAACTTTGACTGAAAATGTTTCTTGCCCAAAGACAAAGCTTTGCTTAAGCATTTCAGCTGGAGTGTTTCCAGGTTGCTTTTATGTTTTTAGAAATAATTTCCCCCTTTAGCAAGTCATGAGTAAAAATCAAGGATTTTTTAAAAAACATGACTTCAGCCCCTTAGCTGTACATTCAAGACATGGTTACTGGCAAATGTTTTCTTCAGTTTGTGAAAGAGTATGTCATTTCAAACTTTGCACGTGAATTTCCTTTTCTTAATGTTAGTTTCATGATTTACAAAATGGTTTTTAAAAGTAAAATAGTCAAACAGAAACTGAACTAACTGAAAACTACTGATAATCCCTACTTCTGTAAGTTAGAAAAGGAAGGACGTCTTTGTTTCTTTACAGTTCAGCAATTAAGTGATCAGCCTCATGCCATTAACCATTTATAGGCCTCAGTGCTTGTGCTGGTAATAAATATTTTGTCAGTGAAGCTGTTGACCAGATATTAGTAGGAAATGAAAAATCTGTCTTGTTACAGTATTTTTGCTGTGTTCTTGTTTTTGGTAACTGTTATATTTTTCCTCTAGGTATCAAACCAGTAATTTCGAAGTATTAACAGAGAAATATGTATAGAGGGAAATACATGTGCATCTTATACCACTTAATTCTATATATAGCAATATTTTTGCTGTGTTCTTGTTTTTGGTAACTGTTATATTTTTCCTCTAGGTATCAAACCAGTAATTTCTAAGTATTAACAGAGAAATATGTATAGAGGGAAATACATGTGCATCTTATATTCTAGATATATGCACTTAATTCTAGATATAGAATATAGATAGATAGATATAGATAGTCTAGATATAGACTTATGTGCACTTAATTCTAGATATAGCAATTTGGAGTAGGCAAAATGTGAATCTGTGAATATGGCTGTAGTACCTTATTATTTTAATTTGTGTGTCTGAAGGTTAGTGGACCATGTTAATATGAATGCAAACCTGAAGCTGTCGTACTGTTGCATTGTGACCTTTCAAAATACTGTTACATTGAAGGTCCAGCACCATGACGGTATAACAGGCACAGAGTCTCCCAAGGTGAAGGATATGTACATGAATAACTTGATGTATGGAATGTCCAACGTAAAGAAGCTAATGGCTTCCATAATCTTTGACATGAACAATGCGAAGAAAAATGGAGAGGTCTTTACTTCTGTTTACAATAAGGACTCAGGAATACCAGGTACTTTTTAACACAGCTTTTTCAACTTGCAGGCTAACTTTTGAAAGCTATCATATTTTCCTCCAAAACAATCAACACAGTGTACCACCTAAATTAAGTGAACTGTGTCTGGAAAATCCTGTTTGCCTTATGAGACCTGCAAGACCTTGCAAGGCCTGAGGCAAACTCAGGTGAATTTACAAGCTCTCAGACCTCAGGCTTCTGAAACCAGGACCTTTAAACTAATGTTAGGCAGAGCCCTGCACCAGTACATATATTAGACCTGGCTCCCAGATTCAGATAACTACATAGCAGAGGGGAGGAAGAGGCACTGATAGGGGTCATTACTAAACTAACCTTACTATGCAGCATAAGATGCATAGTAAGAAGCACTGCCACAGTTAAGAAATGTTCTTTCTGTAGCGTACTGCCAGCTGGTGTAAAAAATGTAAAGGAATTTTTAGGGAGTCTTTTCTAAAGACTGTACATTGCTCTTTATCTTTGATTTGGAAACTTTTTAAACTGTCAAAAGTTCTTAGTGTCGTGGGCTGTGCAACAGACTGATTTGGTTTTCACAGGGTTGGTTTTAGATTAGGCTTCTCATTTGATCTTTTGTAGAACTCTGATAATAATAAATGACAATGAGTTGTGGTAAGCTGCTTATTTGCACTAAATGCATTTACATTCAACTCAGGTGTCATTTTCTGAATACAGTCTTTTTATTGAGTAAAGAATAGGAGAAGAAAGAAGAGGCTTTTATAAAGTACTGTAAAATGTTTCCCTTCTTTCAATCGTGAAGGTTTACTGCAAGGTTTTATGTTAAAATTTTGTAAGATGGTTGTACCTAGACAGATCTCTCAAATACTTTTTAATATCACGTTTTAAAAATACATAGTTTTAGTGATTGATGGCTCTGTTTGTGTGCACAAAGGTGCTACAGATGTTGACCAATATGTTGTTGTCTATAATCCACTGGCATGGAACATCACTACCTTTGTCACGGTTTCTGTCAGCCATTTGGCAATGAGTGTATATGATGAACTGGGACGTTCTGTACCAGCACAGGTACTTTGACTTCGTTGTTTTCTGTTGCTTTTCTTTCACTTGTCAGTTTTCACTGACATCCTGCCTCCTGTTAAAAGTGTGGTAATATGTAGTACTATAGTGAAAACAAGTATTAGTTCAAACTAGTCATCCTTCAAGTATTTTTCAGTTTTTGGTTTGTTTTTTCTTGCCTGTTCTCTCAACTGTCCAAAGGGGCTTCCTGCTCTTCTACTGTGTTTTTGTCTTTTGCATGCATGCGGTGTGTGACTTGACTTCTCATCTTGCTTTTCTTTCTATAAAAAACAGTCTCCAGTAAAGCCCTTGTGCCTGAAGCCCTGCCCCACAATTGACAGTCCTGTTTGTACAATTGGCAAATTGCTTTGGGGAGGAGAAGAGGTTTAAGAAATGGAAGTAGTCTTTACTAGCCCAGAAGAAACTGGGGATAGTCAGCTGCCATATGAGATATCATTCTGTCATAGCCAAGCACCAAGACAAGGCCAGCTGTTCCCTGGACAGAAGGAAGTGGCCTCAAGTGAAAGTTAGCACTAGCCTTTCTCAGGAGCACCTGCTGTAGAGAGTGCATCATCATCAACAGCTTGATAAACCTGTAGGAATGCTTCCTGCACACAAGGCCTGAAGAGACGTGACACAATTCCAGATGCTCCCCTTTGTCCCTGAGATGCCAGATAGCCATTGCATATCACTACCTGACTAGAGTGTGCCTTGATGCACGTGATAGTCCTAAGCCATGAATAATAAAAACTCTGTCCAGCTGGCAGAACTTGCTGAGCTATCTCCTGTTCCTGCAAGTATAGATTGACGATGGTGTAAGACCATACTGCCTTTATCTGGAAGCCATCAGTCTCTCAGGTTAGCACATAGTCACGCTAACCTGTCAGCCACTTGTGTCTCAGAAGTCCTGCTGTCTGAATTACTTTAGCCTTGTAAGGTACAAGGAGGAGATTGGCATGTATTTAAAGCATTTATTAAAATACATTTAGGGATTTAGGATGCCCTGAAGTCAAGCTGTTATTTTTTTTATTTTAATAAGACCACGTACTTTGTTGATCTGTACTCTCACCCATATGTGCATATCAAGAGTCACTGGCGGCTAAATGAAATCTCATTACCAGTAATGAGAAGGTGGTTTGGGGTCTTTTTCTTCCAGTATGTACTGTTCAAAAGTGCATTCATATTGCACACACGTGCCTTTTGAGAGAAAGAAATCTTTAGCTCAGAACCCTGAGTATCTGAGTATGTGGCTGAGAGGAATTGAGGCTTAGCACTTACCACGAGTGCTCTGCCACCTTCTGCACCGCATGCAGGTGTTGTATAGTGAAGGGAGAGAATGAGAGTAGGCCCTGTCGGTAGCACTAAGGTTAGGATGTCTGTGGCGTGAGTAACTGGATATGCCAACCTGCCGTGTGAAGGTGCAGATAATTTGCTTTAATTACTGGTTAGTCACAACTAACTTCTTTGTCCGTGAAATCTGTACAGTATTTGTCTACTCCCATTTTCTTGCCCCAAAAGAGAAGTAGTACTAAATTATGCAACATTAATGGTCAGGGTGCATGTAGTTGCAAGAAGATTGAAAACTGTTGTTTAAGTTATTCTGATATTAAGTAACACTGGTGTTCTGTTTACTGTTCAAAACTATGCCACGTGCTTCTACCTCCCTCTCCGTGTACCTTGCATAAGGTGCAGGCACATCTGGGTGCTTCCTCCTCTTGCCATGAGTTTTTTGCATACTTGCACTGGTCAACTCCTTATGTTTCTGTGTCTTTTCTGTCATTTGACTGACTAGTTTAGTCTGTGATTATTTCTGCTCATATAGACATTTTACAGTGCGATCTTAGATCTACAATTCCCTGTTCACGTTAAAGTAAAATCTGACTTCGTAATTGGCTTAGTGACCCTCTCTCCTTCAAAGAAAGGCTAAGCTTAATCCAAGCTCACCAAGCTCTCAAGTAAAAGCAGCATGGTCTACAAAATAATTGAGAATTATAAGAATGGCATGTTTAGAAACTTACTTTTAAAGTAGTAGCTCAATTTTGTAATTTAGGGCTTGCAACACATGAAGATAGTTGCCTTGCTAATAAATGTTCCGTAATGAAGCATTGTTTTGTTTGTTAACAGGTTCAGAGCTCGGCGGAGTCCCATTCCACCTATGATCTCTATATTCTAGTTGCAATAAGTGGTCTGAGCTACAGAAAATACAGTGTTAAACCCTTGAATGGTGAGCAGTCTGCATTTATAGGAAGATCAGTCAGGTACAAGCGACAAGACGTAACTCGTGCAGATAAACAAAGTCAACAGTTGCTTCCTGTGGTTAACAACTGCTACCAGGTCTTGTTTGACCAAAATACAAATCTAATGTACAGCATTACAGAGAGGTGAGATTGCCTGCTTGTTTTTGATAATGTCTTAGATTCTGTGAAATCCTTTGTAAAGATAAGTCCAGGGGCTGTATCATGTGCCTTAATTCTGAGAATTAACTAACAAAATGTTCTTTACAACTACTCTTTTATCTCCAGTTCACATGTCCTTTCTACAAGAAACATCAACACTAGCCTAGGTGTGATTCCATCCTGTTTTTGTAATGTTGTTGCCCTGTTTAACTACGTAATTGGTCTAAAATGACATATCACAGTATTGACTAGTAGATCTGCAGAATATTATTGTACTTTAGCGCTAAAGAGGGTTATGAATGTGTGGTTGTATTAAAAATAAGTAAGCACACACATTATGGCTATACAATGAGCCTTAAGTGATAAAGCAAGAGATTTCTCTTACTGATGAGTAGTTTTGCAAGTCTTGTATCACTGTTTCTATGGCAGGAAACTACAAAACTTTTTGAAAGGAAACATTTAACTAAGGAAATTCTATTTAGTCAGGCAAGTAAAATGGAAGAAAAATCAAGATCCAAGTGAGATTTGGGGTTTGCAGGTTGTCTTTCTTGGCTGATGTGAATAGGCCCAATTCCTTCAGCTAATGTGGACCTTTGCTGCTTTTTGTCTGCTCAGGATTCAGATTGTCAGCTGGAAGATTTGACCCCTTTGCCATTGGCCCAGTGATTACTGGGCCTCTTTCACGTTTTTGTTCATAATTCTGCCTCCTAGAGCAAGAACCTGTTGTCCAGTAAAGTTAAGATCAGCTTTAAAAGTATAGATGTGCCATAATTGTGAGCCCTGGAGTAAGTACTTTCTGAAAGTGCCTCTGGATCCTGTTTCCAGATTCCGTGAGGAATATAGTATGATATATAATGAGAGAGAACAAACATCAGAATTCAAATCCTGGATTTCTCCGTCCTGTTCTGTCAGGCAGCAAGAGCTGGCATTCAGCACAAAGGAGAAGTGGGATAGTCACTTTTTTTACAAGCCTTCAGGCAAGCCCAGAATGTTTGAATTTCAGGAAGTTTGCTTTGGGGTAGTGGGAAACAGTGACACATCAGGTCAGAATGGGAGGAAAGGTTAAAAAAAATTGGGGTCTTCACCTGTGAAGCCTTATAATGTTTAGCTGCAACAGGTAGAACTTCTAGACCCTGCCTGTGCACTGGGAATGCCCTGTAACAGTAGTCGTTGATAAGACTTAGATATGTTTTGCTCCTCAGTCATTGTCTTTTGCAGGTTGCTCTATTAACACTAGGTAAAATGGTTGGCAGTTTAAATTTATATGCCAGACTAAGTGATTTTTCCTGTTGTGCCAGCAAGGCTCCAAAAGAGGACCAGTGCAGGTAGCTGAGGGCAGGAACATCTTAAATTGGTTTCCTGTGACATTCCAAAGATTGTATGTGAAGTTATGAATTGCTAGACTATAATCTTCAGGGAAGAAAGGATGTGACAAAGTAGGTAGTGAGCAAGTGTCAATTTTGCAATCCTGTTGCCATTATATTTGTTACCACTGTTAAATATGGAAACTTGCATCGTGGTGATGAACCTAGCTACAAAGTCAGTGATCCTGCTCTGACAGGGGGGTTGGACTAGATGATCTCTAGAGGTTCCTTCCAACCCCTGCCACTCTGTGAATCTGTGTAAATGAACCAAATCACTCATTAATAGGGTGAGATGTACCTTGGTTTTGTGTTTTGGTTTTTGTTTGTTTGTTTTTGTTACATTCCCAGCCTCATTCCCATTGCAGTTCAACTTGGCATCTTTTATGTGCAAAATGTGTTTGTAAGTAATATAATTTTTCTCTTCTGTGGATTCACAGGGAGACTAACCAGACTGTCCAGTTGACGCAGGAGTTCCTTGAGTACCATGTGAATGGAGATGTAATGAAAGGACCCATTTCAGATAACTACTTATTTGCCTCAAATACTTCAGCTGTTCCAGTGTCAAAAGCAGTTGGATTGGAAGTGGTTACTGGGAGCTTGATGACAGAGATACGGCAGTTTTTCTACAGGTACAACACCATGACAGCTTCACTTCACAGGAATGTTTAATTCTACGTAGATGTGCATAAGATTAATTCTGTATAGTTATATATTAGTAATTATAGATTAATTCTGGAACTAGATGGTCTTTAAGGTCCCTTCCAACCCAAACCATTCTATGTATCTGTTAAATTTAATGCTGAAGAAGCACCTCCTTTAAATAGCACATATTGCTGCAGGGAGTGAGGTGAAGATTGTTCAGAGTTATCTTCTGTGGGTCACTTGATAATGTACCTTCTAGTGGGATCCTGGTTCCATACAATTTAATGAAAAGTGTAGCTAACATCATCTTACATGAGTGGAATTTGGACATAATGGTTCATTTTTATAACTGTGAATATCTTCCTTACAAGCAAATTAGAGAAAGGAGAAATTAATCCTATACAAGGACACTCTGTTGGTAAACTAGCTGCTCTTCTGTGTTAAAATTCGATTATTCTATAATCCCTTCACCCTCTTTTAAATCTGGTTATTTGACTGAAATATTTGCTTTACATGGCAAGGTTTGTAGTCGAGAAAGACCTTTGGAGAACACTGGAATTCTTGCATCAAAAGTAATGTTTGCCAGATTGAGAAATACAGGTGTTCTGTAGAATGTAAATGTGTTGCTTAGGGAATCATAATTATTTTAATTTTTTTTGTTAATTTTGAGAAAAACAGAGCCTCGCTAATCAAATGAAGAGTCCTTTTTATGTTTGGAAAACTAAAGAAAATAGTAGTGTATCATTTACTCCAGCTGAATATCTGTACATTTGAAAACGAAATTGAAATTAAAAATTATTGTATGTGTACATGAAACACATAGAAAAGAGGCAAGACAGTTGTTTCTGTAGGATGACATCATGAATGATTTGCAAGTCTTGACATAACCAATAATATGCTCCACTTTATAAACTCTTTATATCTTTCCTCTCACTTTTATAGTAACATTACTGCTCAGGATTACATATATGCAGTATATACCAGGATGTATACTGTACCAGAAGGCTATGATGGGAAGTTGCTTTGCCATAGGATAGAGCAAGAATACAGTGTTGGGCCTTTGGAACTCAATCGTGAAGCAGTTCTTAGAACAACCACGAATTTGAACACCAAGCAGCTACTCTACACTGACAACAATGGATATCAGATTCAGAGAAGACCATTCAAGGCATATGTGAATAACAGAGTGGCTCGGGTAGGCACAAAGGTGTAATCCAAAGTCACTTGTGTCTTATCTTTGTTTACAATTACTGTTACCTAAGTTAATGTTACCACTCCGTGGTTTACTGTGTGTTTTCAGAACTATTATCCTATGGTCCAGACTGCCTACATTGAAGATGATACCACAAGGCTGATGCTGCTTGCAGAAAGAGCTCACGGTGTCTCAAGTCAAGGAAATGGACAAGTGGAGGTAACATACAAAAATAGTCTTTGTCTAGGAGACCGTAATTTTATGGCTGCTGATACTTTTAAGTAAAGCATGATGGCTGATTACTGCTGTGACATTTACCTTTCCAATGCAGGTGATGCTTCACAGGAGACTGTGGAACAACCTTCAGTGGGACCTGAGTAACAATCTCACTTTGAATGATTCTTCAGTGGTTCGCCCTGTGCTTTGGCTTATTTTAGGAACCAAGGCTGTGACCAATACTTTGTATCAGACAAGTGGACTGGCGTTAGAACACAGGCCAGTAGTAATGTTTGGAGCATTATCAGGTAACTCATTCCATCTCCTGTGCTATCTTTAGCATCTGAATGGCTTTTTTATTTTGCTCTGATTTATGCTGTGAAGTTTGTAAATGCAGACTTCAAGCTTCCTGTGTGGCAAAGTTAGTACACAGTGAGTTAGGAGGCAGATTTAGCGCCTGCTAATTACTTTGCATTAATTTCAAACATGGATGTTGTCCAAGTGTATGAAATGTTTCTCTTGTTATGCAATTATCTCTACTTTCAGAGGAGAATAAATTTTAAAGCATCTAATGAGAACAAAATGTCCACACAGGGAATTAGTGCAAGATAGCTAGTGCACCATATATCAGCTTCCAGGATGCTAAGTCCTTAATGACCATTTTTGAGTCATTCTTTTAAAAATATTAGTTTGACTTATTAACTAAAACTGAAGCCTGGTAGTGGAATAGCAACTTCAAGCTGCAGTGAAATTTGCTTTGTGGAAAGCTCTAATATATTTCTCCAGTAGTTAAAATCATTCTGCTTTTTGCTTTGTATCTTGGAGGAGAAAGCATAGTATCCGCTTTGTATCGTCCTTGGCAGCAAAAATCTCTTTACCCTTCCACAATCCCCTAGCCAGGCTTGTGTGCGTGATGGATGTTTGATGTTTGCTTTGTTTCATTTTGCATGGAGGAGGTAAACCAAAGCTGCATGGACAACTTCAGCAGAATTCAGTCCACAGTTCACCTGTAACTCTCCCACCTAATCTTCATCTCCAGACTCTGAGCATTCCAGGGTGGAGATACAGCTCTAATCATGCAGAGCAGGTCCACAGAGTCCGCACAGGTACGTGCTTTTCAAAAGGGTGGCTGGATGTTATATAAGCTGACTTTCTTTTCTTTCTACCTTCTGTGGCTAGTACTTTTATTTATGCAAAGTGCTACATTTCTCTATCAAGTAATGTAATAGTCCTGTATGATTGCTCTATTGAAATAGCAAAATAATTCTCCTGCGTGAGTTTGTCATGCCTGTTAGTGTCATTCCTGTCAACAGTGGATGCTAGGTATTTCTTCCTGTTATTCCTCTTGCTGATTTTAGAAAATGAGAATTAAATTCAAATTATGAGAGTGTAAAGATTAAAAATAAAACCAATTTTTCAACTTTTTTTTTCCTAAAGTAAGAAAGTGTTTGCATTTTATTTTCTCTTAAAGGTAAACAGAAGCAAGGTGATGCAGACTTCAGTCGTGTATTGCTGAGAATTAGACACTTATATGAAGTTGGAGAGGATCCTGAGCTGTCTCAACCTGTGATTGTAAATCTGAAGGTAAATTAAATCCATCGAGACAGAATACCACTTGAGGTGTTCTTGTTCCAGATATGTTCTGGAAAGAAACATCCTGTGTGCTAGAGCTCCACAAAAGACAAATACAAAAATACTAGTATAACTTTAACCTCAGAGGGAAGCAGGTCTTATTTTTACTCACTTTTGGAACACAGAAGCCCTTACTTCAGACGAAGTTGGCATAGGCACAGCATGAAGAGCTGCATAAGTATCATAGAATGGTTTGGGTTGGAAGGGACCTCAAAGACCATCTAGTTCCAACCCCCCTGCCATGGGCAGGGACACCTTCCACTAGACCAGGTTGCTCAAAGCCTCATCCAGCCTGGCCTTGAAGACATCCAGGGATGGGGCATCCACAGCTTCTCTGGGCAACCTGTTTCAGTGCTTCACCACCCTCTTCGGGAAGAACTTCTTCCTGGTATCTAATCTAAACCTCCCCACTTTCAATTTAAACCCATTAACCCTTGTCCTGTCACTACAGGCCCTTGTGAAAAGTCCCCCCCAGCTTCCTTGTAGCCCCCTTCAGGTACTGGAAGGCTGCAATAAGGTCTCCCCGGAGCCTTCTCTTCCCCAGGCTGAACAAGCCCAACTCTCTCAGCCTGTCCCCATAGCAGAGGCGCTCGAGCCCTCTGAGCATCTTCGTGGCCTCCAACCGGTCTATATCCTTTGTTCCAATCGGTCTATATCCTTCTTATGTTGGGAGCTCCACAGCTGGACGCAGTACTCCCGGGTTGGGGTCTCACAAGAGCAGAGTAGAGGGGGAGAATCCCCTCCCTCAACCTGGTGGCCACACTTCTCCTGGTGCAGCCCAAGATACGGTTGGTTTTCTGGGCTGCCAGCACACACTGCTGGCTCATGGTTGAGCTTCTCATCAGCTGTTGCCCACAAGTCCTTCTCCTCAGGGCTGCATGCTATTCACTCTCTGCCCAGCTTGTACTTGTGCTTGGGATTGCCCCCGCCCATGTCCAGGACCTTGCACTTGGCCTTGTTGAGCTTCATGCAGTTCACAAAGGAATATGTGTAGAACTGGTTCTGTTGAGTTCTTGGTTGTATAACACCCTGCAGTACCTTAACCAGTGCAGAGAATGGGAATCTGCTTTGCTCTTTCTTTAGGTATTGTAAGTTGTACCTATAGTTAATGAAATGTGCACAGGATTAAAGGAAACAAACATCTTTTTGTTCTATAGTTTATTTCTGTGAGTTGGTGAAAATTTTGGTTGCTTCCATCATGTGCTGTGTATTTTCAGTTTCTTGTTTATTTGGTCTTCGATATAGCAGTAGATTCTTCTATAATACATGGCAGGGGTTTATTATTCTAAAACTCTTAAATTTTTATTGTGGTGACAGAAACATGGGGAACAAGGTGTAGGGTGCTCTGTTTTGTGGTTAAAAGTTCAGAGTGTTTCAGCTTTTGAATGGAGAGATTAGTGGGCTCTGAACTTTGCTACACCACAGAGGAGGCTCTCAGCACCTCGACTTCTTAGTTTGAAGCCTGGTGAATCTGTTGTTGCCCCTGTGTCGCATAACCTAGCAGATTTTTAAAGTCTCTGCTACTCCGCTTAACAGATCAGAGATGAAAGTTCTGTTCTGGCCTGTGTACTAGACCAGTGAGTATGATGCTGTTTCTGTTTTCTTTACTTACAGTCTTTGCTAAAGGGATTAGGATCAGTGATGCTAGTGGAAGAGCGATCGCTCACAGGCACCTGGGATGTAAACACTTTGAAGCGGTGGAAATGGAAGACTGCGCGAACTCCAAGCAGAGGTAGGTGGAAGAAGTAGGCTGGTGTCTGTATTGTTGACTCTTGAAGCTTAATGAGTAGTCTGATTAAAAATCTAAAAATATTTGCAAGATTAAAAATGTGTTGTTCTTCTGTATGACAGTCCTAGTATTTGGCAGAGCCTACAAGTAATAACATTTAGCAAAGATTCCCTGCAAGGACTAGCCTGCTGTGTTTCTCTAATGGCTTGTTTTGCCTAGAAGTGGTAAAAAGCTTGAAATCTTCCTGGATTTCTATCTTTGTCCAGATAGAAATGGCCACTTAATGAATTCACACTTGTGACACAGATTGATTCTGTTAGATGCCGATGAGTTGTGTTAATCTAAACTTAATCCTGTGCTGCAGAAAACAGACAGCTGCAGTTAAAAATCCCCACTGTAATCAGCTTAAAGGACTCTGTGGATATGAGTCAAGTTAGGGCTGACACTCAAGTCAAATGCTGTGGGTGACCTCATTTCATTTCTTATTCCAGTTAGTTGCTTGGACGTTGTCTCAACTGTCACTCGCATCCACATATGTGCCTTGTAAAAACCTTGCGGAGGTTTTGGGCTGGGCTAGGTGGGAGTTCAGACCTCTGCTTGACCTGCAGCTAGGAACTTGCTTGCTGTTTACTTGCACTGAAGAAAAGGTGCATGGCTGGGGAGTTGCTCATGTTTTCTGTGTGAGTCAGTGTGTAAAAAGGAGATGGATTATTGTATATTTTAATATTATGAATAGGTGCATCTTGGGTTCCATACTACTTAGTGCTTTAAGGAGGAGAATCTGATCAAGCACCAGCTTTCAAGGAAGGCATGAGTTAAACCAAGATAGAATAATAAATACATTGGAGTAAAGTTTCTTCTTGGATAAATTACTAATGTTTTTATGTTTTACAGGATTCTCCAACAGTATAGTGACATCAGAAAACTGTACAGTAACTGTTCACCCCAAGGAAATAAGGACGTTCTTTGTGTACTTTCAAGGTCAATAAAGTTTGACATTGTATTTCAGGAGTGAACATTTTTGTTCCAAGACATGAGTAATGAACTTGAAAAACATTCTACTGCTGTTAATGAAAGGAGTGGTCATTTTGGAATAAACTCTAAATTGAATTAAACTGTTGGCCGGAGTTGTGAGTATTTTTGTTGGTTAAGTGTTTACAACTCTCTTTTTTTTTTCTGAAACATGTTCAATTCAAAAGTACAGAAACGACCTTGGTGTTGCTGTGCAAACACACTGAACATTGTCGTGCTTGCTGTGGGTGGTTTTAAAGTGAATGCCTCTCTCACGCTTCACTGTGGAGCACTGACGAACTCTCATTAGTACTACAGTCTTGAATTATTTTTACAGTTAGTGGTGATCTCAAGAGTCTTTTCTTTTTATTGTTAGAGGAGAAGACTTCCAAATCACAGAATAGTGGTTTGCTAAATGATGTTCTGTTTCTGCCTGCAAGTAGGCATGACTGTTATGTTTCAGCCACTGTGTCTTTTGAGCAGCAACTGCAAAGTTTCTGCTCTGATGTAAAATGAAATGGAACATACTGTTTGTACTCCTTTTCACTAAGTTCATTTAAATTGTGTCTCTCAAGGTTCAGATCTGATGGGCTTCGCTTCACAGTATCCCAGTCCTGGATGTTCAGTCCTGCGTTAGGGATAAACTAGAGCTACTCTGTTGACAGAAGGGGTGCTGTCACATGGCCAGTAACTAATTCATCAGGTAACCTGAAGCAGGAACACCGTTCTTACAACACTGTGAACTTTCATACTTCTCAGGCTCAAAGAACATGCACAGTGGTAGCAGGAACGTTTCATTAGTATCAAGTTGAGCTTAATTACAGAGGACTGGGTTTAGGATTAAACTGGCAGTAAGTGCAAATTCTAAGCAGATCTGATTGAGGAGCAGCAGCAGCAGCAGAAGGAAACTTGGAAAGTGGTTAGCTTTCCTAATAGCTGTTATGTATTTATGTCCAAAAGAAAAGTTGCATTTTTTTTATTTCTCTTCTTAGCTCTCATCAGTGTGGAGCTGTAGAATCTGATTATGCCCACGTGCCATTGTCATCTCTACTTACTTTACTTACTCACCATGAAGATGCACAGAGCTGAGATGAGAATCAAGTTGGTCAGTTCACTGCAGTGGTAACGATGAATTATGTGTGGGGTAACACTGTATGAAACTGCCTGACTAGGGAAATGTAAAACTGAAAGAGGAAACTTATATATTTAAAAGAGGAAAATAGATGCCTTTTTAGTCAATTATTAATCCCAGATCTCGAATAATGACATTTTACTGTGGTTACTGTTGTGACTTACTTCAGCTGTTCAGCAGTAATTTCCCACATGCAGAGACACTATTCAAGAATAAAGAAACAGAGTGAAAGGTGCTCTCCCAGAATAGCTATTGTGAAGTAGTTACGCTGGAAGAGCTGCACTCGTGGTCAGTTTTTCCGTGTAGACAGCCTGTGTACACTAACTTGTTGCATCTCATTAAAATCACTGCAGAAACTTCCGCATTCAGTTACTGGATGAAGAAAGGTTGTTTCATATTTTCTATTGGTTATTTTACGTATTTGGCTATAAATATTTAGTGATATGCCAATCTAACCTGCCCTGCTGCAGTGAAAGCCGTTTTCCTGCAACAGGAAGCCCAAAGGGGAAGTATATAGCACTGTAACTAAGATGCAGTAAAGCAGGATGGCAGCTATTTGTTTTGTTTTGTGTATGTATTTAGTAAATGAAATGGGTTGGGCTATGTCGTTTTCCTTGCTTGTACGTCATTTCTCATTCTCTACTTGGTTATGCCATGGAGTATAACGGGTATGCTGGTATGCTTACGATTTGTATTTTTGTGACTGAAGTGGTATTTGCTAATGCATCTGCTGGTGACAGCAAGTCACGCTGGTAGATCGTAGCAATTGAATTGTATCTTCACTGAGCAATTGCATGGTCAATCCTGGCTGAGCAGTAAAGGATCCTACAGCTGCTAACTCTGGGCGCTGCTTTGCCAGATGTCAGGTTGATATGTTTCCAGTAGGCTGTGTTAGAACAAATCCTACAAAAACCTTCTGTACACAGGGTACTACCTCATTACCAGCTGATTTATCTGCTGGGGAGGGTTCTACTTCAATATGTGGAGACTTTCTGATTTAAAAGGAAAAAAAACAACCAAACAAACAAACCAAAACAACCCAGTATTTTATCTGGACTTATTTCAGTACAATTGCTATCAGGGAATAATTTGCCAGAGTCAAATCTTGTGTTGCACTGGAGGGATCCAAGACTGTGGTCTGTAAAAAGCATTTTTCCTGCTAGAAGATGTTGTTGCATATTTTATATGTTCTTTTTTCCTGAGAAATCGCAGCCTAAATGAATGGAAGCCTGCAGGTATTCCAGTCTCTGTAGAGGGACCCGTTTAGTAATCATCCTTTTTTTTTCCCTCTTACACATGGGGAATTCCAGAAGTCTGGCTGTAACTGCCATTGCCTCCCCAAGGCCAGAGTGCCTCCGCGCTGCGCAGCAGCTCTGCAGTCACCAGCACGCAGGCGAGTACAGGTACTCATCAACAGAATCCAAACTCATCAATGCGGTTTCTAATGTTAACTAAGTTTAAGAAAGAAAAGAACGCTTAAAAGGATCGTTCTGTTGTAGATGCTTTCCTGACCCACATAGGCATTTTGCGTGGTGCACTTATCCTGGCAGCAGAGCTGCCTTAAGAAATTTTGTCACCATATTTTTCCACCCACTCTGTACTGTGAGTGTGTGGGGTTGTGTTGTAATATGGTTCAATGAAGTAACCTTGAGCTAAAAATAAACCTTCTATCAACCCCTTTTTCTGTGTACTAGTTCACTTCATCTCTGACAGTAGATGCTTTGGATTAGAACCAAAGCATCTTTCAGAGTATATATAAGCTGCTATCAGCATTACTGAAAAAGCTTCACCTCGTCTCTAGACAAAATGTTCGGCATGCTGGAGCTGCTAGCTGCATAACACTGTGCTAAATGCACAAATGTAGGTGTTTAAATATAATAGAAACTAGTTTTTCACTTTTATTTTACACATGCATACATTTTTATTCTACATCTTTGATCAGTAGTACCAAAGATAACATGAATGTCAGTGCTAACAGAGTTAGTTAATATAATTAAATAATAGCCTTAAATATAAATTATTTGCTTTAATATATCCTTTCATTCACTTCAGTTTGTTGGTATTTGTTATTTCCTCGCTAGCTCTAAAAGGAACTAAGCTGGGTACCATCAGAAATGGGGATAGGCTACAGGACTTGGTGACATTTACCTTTGCTATTGTCTCATTTTCAATTTTACTTGGCAATCTAAATGATGCAGGAAATTACTTCTGTAAGGTAGATACTGAGAAGCAAGTGAGCCGATGCATCATGCTTTTGTTGCTGACAAATGGAAAGGAACAGTGCTTTAGGCTTTAGTTGTGGCTGTGTCTTCGTAACAGATTGCAGTCCAGCTGTCTGGACACTTGTCCAGTGCTGCTAAAACCTGATGTTACTTATGGGAAATTTTGTGGTTGACAGGTTCTTATCAAGTTCTTCATAAATTAACTGATTTATGTTCTCAGCATATTCTATTAGATTTTTTAACTTCCATCATTGCGGTTTTGATGTTGTCCATCTCAACTTGTTTAAGAGGCAGTTTGAAACATCTGTCACAGGTCACAGAAATAATACTAGGTAAGTTAAGAAAATAGAAGCAATGTTTTTGTCTTCCACTTCTCTGGCCAGGCCATGTCAGTGATTCTGGGTTGGAGCCAAAAATCAGTACTGGAGAACATTAAACAGCAAACAGTTCTCTCTATTGTAGATTTTTTTTCTAATAATTGAAGGCAAATAAGTTTCAGCATGGCCCTTAACTTGATGACATACCTGTAGATCATTATATTTAATTCATGCTTATATTCCTCCTGAAACAAGCCTTAGGTAATATGCATGACATGGTAGAGCAGTGGTGCAGCTGCACCTGTAGAGGTAACAGCGAGATGCATTGCATGCACGGCGTAGTGTCCTGGGCTGTTTCCCTCTGCTGATGTGGGTGGTTGGGGCCACTGTCAGTGTGAACTCAGCCGTCCTGCATTGCTCCTGCCAATGGAGCTATGCTACTGTTAAGGCAAAGGCAGGAAAGTACTTCTCACAGGAGGGAGGAGTTCAGGTAAGATTTCAGCAAGACAGCAATGGAATGTTGGATAAGGAAAGATAGCTTACATTGATGCTAAGTATTAGTCCTGTGTACAGTTCTCTCTGGCTTGGTAAGATTTATCAGGTTGGCTGGAAGAGGCTACTGATGAGCATGTACACAGTAGCTAAAGAAGTCTCAGCTTCATAAGATGCCTTCACATGAAGGATTGCAGAAATGCAATGGCAAACGTTCACATGAGACCGCTCTAAGCATGGAAAAGCTTAGAAGTTATTCACATCCTACCAGAAGAGAGGCTAGTCTAGTATTGAAAGGTAACCAGTTAGAACACAATTTAAATTTTAAAGAAGAAATGTCCTGATTTCAGACAGGATGGTTGGGCTTTAAAACAGACACATCTGTGATGAACATATGGGTTGTATTTCAGTTTCCATTGTCCTCACCACAGGAGGGAAGAGGAAGTTAAGGTATGAATCTGACGTGCTTTCATTTGTTGTTTTGCTGGTCTTCATCAAAGACACCCTGATGCAAGTGCTAATAGTCCTGCGGGATGATCAGAATTTCACTGAAGCTTCTTTTAACAATGTGCTTTGGTTCCTCAGGTAAGTGCTGTTTATTTTCTTTGTTCTATTTATAGTTAGTCACCTGTAATTTTTGACCTGGAATTAAAAAACGTCTCACAGAATATCCACCTCAAATAGGTGTGTCCAAGACAAAGAGAATTTTAACTACATTTTCACAATTTTGAAATCAAAATGCGTGGGGAATCAAAAAGCATTTTAACAAAGAGTTTGTTGTAGAAAAACTGTAGGGGAACAAATCATACACTTCAACATCACAAATTATGTTAGATTAATACAAGCATCGTTTTTCTTAAACCTTCAGACTTGGATATTTATTGTGACAAACACTGGGTTTAGAATTTTAGAACGTTAAGGAGGTTTTGTTCTAGATCACA